GAGACGCGCGCCCGCCGGCGGCGCCTCAGGTCGCCTAGCGGAGCAGCGGGCCGCGTACGGCCGTGTGCGGCCTGGGCCTGAGCAGGCTTTGCTGTTTCCTCTCGTGGTTTATCCCGCCCGCCCGTCAGGGAGGTGAGCATCGAGCGCGTGTGAGGGCGCGAACGCTCTGTGGAGTCCGCACTCGGCCTGGGGTTGGGCGGGTCGCTGCCTCCGGGGCTGCGGGGAGCGGGAGGGAACCTACAGGATAATGGGATGGCGCAGGGAGCATGGCGTTTCCACGGAGCCGTGTGAGGACCGAGTCTGAGTGTGGAATGTGGAGCCGGCCGTCGGTGTGTTCGGAAGGACAGTAAGGCGGACCGGGGAGACCACGTCCAGGTCCCTTTTCTGAGGCTCCAAGTGGGCAATGGCGGCTGCTGGCCGTCCGCTAACGTGGGTCCTCCTTGCGTTTCTTAGTGAGCGGCGTGTGCTTGGAGAAGTCGTGTTTCCGGTGAGCTCGGCACCGTTTCCTGCGAATGGCTTCAGCTGGCCGACCGACTTCTGCTCCCTTGGCCTTGCATCGTTCTGTCTTTTGGACACTCTGGCCTGAGCTCTAGAAGATCTTTCATGAGGAACAGGTGAAAGCCCGGCGCCAGAGGGCGGTCAGCAACCCGACGCGCAGTCCACACCTAGAGCTGGGCGCCTTTCAAACTCTGTGCTGGGACAGGGACATGCTTAGGATGTTCACACAACGTCAAAAAAATAGAGCCTGAAAACAGAGCAGCGGTTGCTTGGAGTTGGAGGACTAACGAAAAGGGGGCTCTTGGAGCTGTTCTCTATTGTATGCGGATGGTCGTTAACACGACTCCTATAGCTGTCACGACTCACACAGATGTACAGCAGAGTCTGACTTCTATAGCTCTACGCGGGAGACCACGTGGTGGCCAGGACGCCTAGTGCTGCTGGAACTCCATGTGGTGAGAGCGTGAAATGGTGCAATCAGAGTGGCAGTTTCTTACAGACACCTTTCTTTGGTGTAGTACTGCAGCCCTGGGCATCTACTCAAGAAAAATGAAAAGTCTACAAGGACTCGTACAAGAAAGGTTACAGCAACTTGTTTCTAATAGCCCCAACTGGGGAACCGCCAGTGAATGATAAACTTTCGTAGGGTCTACCAACACTATAGATAAGTCTCAGAAACATTCTGCTAAGCAAAAGAGGCCAGACCATACAATTCCATTTATGTAAGGGCAGACAGAGCTTCAGGGACAGAAAGCCTCCAATGTAGGCGGCTAACCAAGGGGCAGGAGGGCACTTTCTGGTGTGAAGGAAGGTCCTGTTGAAGTAGATGATTCTGTTTTGTAATGACTTGTTAAAACTCCATTTTGCAGCAAAGTCCATATCACAAGCACTCCAGCATCACAGCATTTCTACTTCTCCCTATCCTTCTCAGAGAGCCCAGTAGCTATCTAAATCAAACATCTCTGAGAAACCGACTCCCCTCTTCCTTCTCTAAACCAAACATCCCTGAGAAACCCACTCACCCCTTCCTTTTCCTGAAAGCCCTGTAAATAGTAATTCCCAGAATTGGGGGCCCTATCTTGCCAACAGAAATTCTCAGAATTGAGGACCCCTCATTCCGGACTCTGTGTTTCTGCTCTGATAGTAAGCTAACCATTAATCTTCCCTAAACCATAACCTGGCAGTTTATTGCTTCTGTAAGACGCTCGTCTGCTTGCAGTCCTAAGCTTTATAAGCCTGCCTGAAATCAGGCTTGGGGCTGCAGTTGGGGAGAACGCTTTAGTTCCCTGCAGCCCAGCTATAGCTGAATAAAGACTCTTACAAATTCTGGACATCATAGTGGTCATCAGTTTTTTCCTGAACCCAAAACATTTGGGGGGCTCATCTGGGATGACCACTGTGTCCTAGGGCCTCTTCCAGGGAGGTGCCACCTGAGACGTTCCAGGGCCCCGGACTCCTAACTCCCTAGTTGAGTGGCTGCTCGAGGACGCCTTTGCAACGAATTCATTTTGAGTCACCTGGTTCCTCCGGAGGTAAGGCTGTAAGGCCAGTCTCTCTGTTGATTGGGAGAGGCGATTGGACACGATCTCAACCCCCCCAGTCTTTTCTTACCAGGACACTGAGTTGAGAAACCTGTCCAGAGAAAACTTGTTTTCCTGGAGCCTGGTCTGGTAAAACGTTGAACTGCCCTTGTTTTACTAGAATTCCTGTCCTATCCTCTCGAGAGTGCCTGGTATTTCTGGAATCTAACACGTTTTACTATTTTATGTTTTGTCATCTCCTCAGTGGTATTGTCAACTTCTTCCTCTTTCCTTGTTTGCCTCTGATTGGCGTTCTAACTTGTGGACTTGTGGCTGTTGGCCCCGACTGACTGGACTGTGGGACAGAAAATTCTCCTTGGATTGTGTTATGTTTTTTTATGTTTCTTTTTTGCAGGACTGAGTTGTTACACACAATAACTAAAGTTTAATTCTAAATACTACATTGGATTGGGAAGTTCAACCTTTCCAAAATATTCTAAACAAACTTTGAATTAGCATCTTGGGGTTCTTAGGTGGGTGTGAGTGTTTTGATGTATGGTGTGTGATTGTGTCTGGCCAACTAAACCCCTTAGGGATCAGGATGCTGGGGGCAAGTGTTGAGCCAGTCTCTTAACCAGTGGTGATCCTCATACGGCTCAGGGTGGTGGGTCTGCTGATAGTTCCGCAGACTTCTGGGTCAGGGATTTATACTGACCCACTAAAGCCAAGAAGCACCTGAAAAATCCTCACGAGAGGAATGGGAAAAGGAGTTTGGCACAGTGACTGATGGTGTGTGATTGTGTCTGGCCAACTGAACCCCTAAGGGATCAGGATGCTGAGAGCAAGTGTTGAGCCACTCCCTTAACCGGTGGTGATCCTCATACAGCTCAGGAGGATGGGTCTGCTGATAGTTCAGCAGACTTAGACTTCCAGGTCAGGGATTTATACTGACCCGCCAAAGCCAAGAGGCACCTGAAAAATCCTCGCGAAAGGGACAGGAAAAGGAGTTTGGCAAAGCGACTGATGGTGTCAACCCCAAATTCCTAAACCTTGATAGTTCAAGGGATATTTTATTGATTGTAGGCAGCTTAAAATTGCAAATACGTTGCTTCCATTTAGTGGAGAATATGGGAAACACTCCACAAATAAATCTCTTCAGTGTATCTTAGACAATTTTAAACTGGCATTCCAAGATGATTATGGTATTAAATTCAGTCCCAGATGCCTTAAAACTTTATGTAACTCAGAATGGCCAACTTTCAGGATGGGATGGCCTGACACTGGTACTTAGATCCCCACATTACTCAAGCAGTTTGGAATGTGGTGACTGGGAAACCAGGCCATCCAGATCAGTTCCCATATATTGATATTTGGTTAAGTTTAGTCCAGAAACCCCCCTATTTGGTTGAAGAAATGTGCCTGGGATACAAAACTATCAGTTAGGTTAACAACCTCAAAACCAAATAAAAAACAGCACCCAACCCCCTCCCTCCCTGTCCCAGAGGAAATTGTCATACCTCCACCCTATCACCAGGGACCCAGCAACCAATCACCACTGCCTGCAGCCCTAACAGCACCGGATTCCACTGAACCCCCTCTTCCTTCCGCTCGCCATACTCACAGTGGGGCACCCCTAGAGAAGCCAGCCCTACTCCCACTGCGACAAGCACCCCCTGGCAAAGGGGACCCTCGTGGTTGCCCTTTTTAATACACACTCCTATTCTAACTAGTGATCTGTATAATTGGAAAAACCAAACATCCTTATTTTTCTCAACGACCGCAAGCATTAGTTGGGTTACTAGAGTCTGTCTTCCAGACCCACCAGCCCACATGGGATGATTGTCAACAGATCTTGGTTGTGTTGTTTACGGCAGAAGAAAGAAAGGAGTCGAATTAGGCAGGGGGCAATAAAGGTGGTGATAGGTCCCACTGGGGGAACAGCAGAAGAGAATAGAGATAAGATAGAGGAAGAGTTTCCTGAGAAACGACCTAATTGGGACCCAAGTACTTCAGGTGGCTTACAGGCACTGAAAAAGTACCAACAGTTTCTATTAGCAGGCATAAAGAGTGTGGCTAAAAGACCCACTAATCTCTCCAAGGTAACTACTATAATTCAGCAAGACACTGAATCCCCCAATGCATTCTTAGAAAGACCGGTAGAAGCTTACCGAACCTATACTCCTGTTGACCCAGAAGAGCCAGCCAACCAGCAAGCTATTAACCTAGCCTCTGTAACCCAATCAGCACCAGACATAAAAAAGAAATTACAAAAACTGGAGGGGTTTGAAGGGGAGAACTTATCTGAGTTAGTAGAAATAGGTCACAAAGTAAACAATAATAGGGAGCCCAAGGAGGAGGCAAGGAGGAAAGCGATGACTAGAGCTATGGTGGCAGCCCTTGGAGATGTTGAGAGATCTCCCAGGGGATTGGTGAACAAAAGCCAGTTTAAAGCTAAAACTCAGAACCAAAAGCCTCTGGGGAGAAACCAGTGTGCATACTACAAGGACGAGGGACATTGGAAAAATGAGTGTCCAGAGAGAAAGGAAAGACCAAAAAGGAAACCCCCTGTCCTAAGCTTAACAGAATCAGAATAGAGGGGCCTAGGCTCTTTTTCCTTAAGCCCCCATGAGCCTAGGGTTACCATGAAAATTGGGTGCAGA